TTCCTTTTTCAACACTCTAACATTTTGGAGTCTCCTTTAATTTGATCTAGGGTCAGATTTTATTTTTTTACTCAAATCAACATTTTCAATAATTTTACAATCCTTATATTCTTTCAAATTCAATACAAAATTTAATTCTCCCAAAAGTAGGACCATCAAAAATTCAAATCCTTGTTGCAACGCTTCAAAATATTATATTTTTAAAATTTCAGGGCCCTTTTTAATTTTCGGTGTCCAAAATCCTAATCACTGCCTTCAGTTACTCAAAACGTTAATTTGTAAGCAACCTTCATTATTTTATAAGTTCCGTCGCCTTTTATTAACAAAAGGATTTTCTACAAAAGCAAATACTTTACATTTCCGCCTTGTCTATATTCGTTTAAAAAACCACCTGCTGAAAATTAACTAAATTAATTTTTTTAAATTTAATTGATGAAATTCATCAACCGAAAAAAGTTTGTAGTCGGTTGATATCTATAAAAAACATTCTGTTTTTCCATTTTTAGTGAAAATAGGTTTTTTTCAATTTATCGCTTTTCCAGTATTGATGAGATTTTTACATCAATTTCAAGTGCCTTCAAGTCTTGAATGCGTATTTTGTTTAAATTTTAAACAATTATCATTCTCCAATTGATGAGATTCCATCCGTTTTTAAGTAAATAACAAATCATTAATATTCCGCTTTTGAACGTTCAATCGCCATTTTAAACACAGGCAAATATCATTGCAAATTTTTTTGACCAGAGAGGAAACGTTTATTTTAGATATATTCTAGTTTACTTCTACGAAACCATTTCAATTGTTTTATTGGATGACGATTGGAATAAACGTCAGAAAGTGTTACATAAATATATTTTATAAAATTACCTTATATATTATTATATACTATTGTTATATAGGAATAAAGTGTCGCTGCCGACACTTGAGTTTGAACATAGATCGCCAGTGAGCAAATACAGGCGATCCCATTATTGAATTAAATAGACCGCGTAAAAATAGAGGAAATGCACATATAGGAAGTCGCGGGACGTCTAAATGATCTATTTTCTAGTCTATCCTCTATTACTATTCGGATCTGCTATTTCTATCCTTCTATTACTATACGGACCGCTATTCTCTTTATATACTATTCACTATACTATTTCTCTATTCCTCTCGTTTCACTATAATTCTGGCCCTTTTAACTATTCGAGCGAGTATTATCGAGCAAGTACTATTAGTGCGAGTGATATTCGAAGGCGTCTGACACCAGTATTGTTCAACGGCGTTACTATAGTTGTATCTGCGATTACAAAGTCTCTACTACAACGAGCATTCCTCCCGACAGACGAGGTTATTTTAAGAACATGGCAGTTTTCATAAAATGTTTTATTTTGGTAGCAATTTGCGGTATTGGGAGAAACTATCCGGTTCTATATTCAATTCTCTTTTATAGTAAATTTGATCCATACTCTGACGTCTTGAGCCCCTCCGCGTGGTGTAATGGTTAATGTTTGTTTCTCTTAGAACAAAATTACGACTGAGTAGTGAGTTCAATCCTAACTGCGTTGCTCCATACTTCTCTTCTTCTATACTAAATTTGATCAATATACTGAAATATTGGGCACCTCGGCGTGGTGTAATGGTTAACAAGCTTGTCCCGCTAGAACAATTACGACTGACTAGTGAGTTCAATCCTGTGTTGCTCCATACTTTAGTCTTTGTGTCACATCGCTTAAGAAATCATATGGTGATAATGCTTAGCAAGTTTGTCTCGCTAGACCAATTACGACTGAATAATTGAGTCCGATCCTCACTAGGTGTCCCATAAATTCTGCCACATCTAAGCTATGCTGACGTATTTCAAGTGTTTAATATTTACTAATTGCACATGTTCATGGTAAATTCAATGTATTCAATGGCCTCACTCTAATTCCAGATAATAGTTTATGCTTTGGAAAAGTTTATCTCGAGTCCTTTTTCTTAGAACATTTGGTTGAGGCTCTTTGTATTATATCTGAGTCCATTCTTATCTCCAATATGAGTACTTTCACAAATAAAAAGTATAGGTTGCAATACTAATGCTGAGAAAGTGATTTCCAGTGTTTTCTTTTTCTATTGGTCGAAAAATGATTTTGAGAAATAATTTCTATTGGTCGAAAAATGAGTTTGAGGAATAATTTCTATTGGTCGAAAAATGAGTTTGAGAAATAATTTCTATTGGTCGAAAATTGAGTTTTAGGTTAATCGCACCGATCAAATGCAGGCATTTTATTTCCGCTTGTGAGATTTTCAAGTAAGTTTAACGCATAATTGTATCGTCATTAACTAAGTCTAGTTTAGTTTTGCACACGGAAATATGTATGAGGCATTTTGTGAGGATCGAACTCACTATTGAGTAATAAAAGTGTACAAAACTTGTTCACAAAATATTAATTATCATTCATATACGTAGAGTTGCCCAATGTTAACGGACCTATATTCACTTTGTTCACAAATATTTTCATGATATTCTGAAATAAGTAAATTTTCCAGTATAATATATCGTTTGCTTTTTGTCAGGTTATTTTGAATCTGGTGGTCTTTAGAAGTAAATTCATTCTTTTTCTTATTATGAAGGTATCAATAAGAATTAAAATTTTTATATATATATATATATATATATATATATATATATATATATATATATATATATATATGCGTTTTGGGTGTGGATCCTACGCGTGTGTGTGTGTGTATTTGGCTGTACAAAGTCTTCAATTCGCTCTATTGAGTAGAAAAAAAATTTATAAACCCAAAAAACGTCTTAGCTAAAAAATTTTCAAGAATTAAAGGATTTATTTTAATCTGACATTTTAACGTTTTGAATATATATATATATATATATATATATATATATATATATATATATATTAAGAGACGAAAGGCAATAAAGAAAAATTTCAGTAAATATTCTTATTGCTATGCTCCAAGATCCTCGCTGTCGTATAATATGCGGACTTGTATGCAGGTCACTAGAGTGACTGAAGTGTGACATACGACACAAACATAAAAACCGAATGAGTTTTTCTGGTCCTTCATACATTGAAATCAACGAGAGAGTTCATTATATATATATATATATATATATATATATATATATATATATATATATATATTTCATTTTTCACTTTCTAGGCGGGAATGCCACTAGATGACCAGCTACTTATTATTCGAGAACGCCCACCAGTGATCCAATCACAAACACCAGTCAAGATAATTGAAGACTGACTGTGACACATATAATTCGTATAATCTGATAACAAGATGGATCGTTAATGGCAGCATCATATCAAGTTGACCTGTGCCATTGCTTCGAGAACCCAGTGTTCCCAAGTGGTTTTCTATCTAAGTACCGACCCAAAACAGACAATCTAGAACTGCGCTCAGAGGAGATTTGATCTGTAATCCGAAATTTTGTTTAGAAAAATCATTGTAAAAAAACATTGCTTTGTGATAAGTTGGCAATTTTTATGAGTTTATATATTGGCTGCGTGAGATTTATTTTTGATAGTGCTATATGTTGATTTTGTTTTTTTTTTTAATTTATGCATATGTTGACAGGAACTTTGGTATATATGCATTTCACTAACCATGGGTTTATCGGCCATATTTATTTCCTTTGAAAATTCAGGAAACCTCGTCGAAAAACTAAAGGGAATGTATTGAGATATATAATCTTATCAAAAAGCTACCCGTCAGTCTACGGAGATTTTGGAGTCCTCTAAGCTGACTTGCGGATCACTGTTACAAACGCCTGCTCAGGCACGTTTCTATTTATTCAACAACCGCAGAGTAAACTTGTGGCTTATACTGTAAAGATTTTCCAAGCGTAGCTTAGATGTGGCACAAGGCCGAAAGCATGGGGCACCCAGTGAGGATCGAACTCACTTTTCAGTAGTAACTGATCTATCAAGACAAGCTTGCTAACCATTACACCACGCCAAGGTGTCCTGCGTCTTATATTGTAACTATGTTGAATAGACATTAGAGTTTTTGCGAGAGATTCTAGTTGATAATACTGATGTAAATTTACCATGCTTTAGTGACCAATTTTAGTTTAGTTTTGTATAAGACCTCGGGTATTAAACACCCATATAGGATCGAAGTTGTACTAATCCACCAGATTAAATCGTTAATCTTTCTTCCTATCGTGAGGCCTTAAAAGTGGTCATGATGTTATTTAACAATTAATTTTACATCTGGTTGTAATTACCTATCGGAAACAACATACTTACTGTTCAACTTACAATTAACACATATCTTCAACCAGTAACTAACAAGAAGCAAGAATTTAGCATCTCCACTAAATATTTTATGCCATTTCTCGACGTTGGCCGGGAATGGCGGGAGATGTGGAGTAAAAAAACGTGGACTGCGGCGATTTTTCAAGTTAGAAAGGCTGTGTTTCTTTCTTTCTTTCTTTCTTTCTTTCTTTCTGTCTGTCTGTCTGTCTCTTTATCCCTCTCATGCAAACAGATACAGATATGTTTACTTATGGCCTAGGGTAATAGCGAGGTTAGATTTTCCTTCCAAATTCTTCCGGGGGGGGGATTGGCAGAGGAGAAGGTTAACCCCCACCCATTCCCATCGGAGTAGATTCTGCGGTTGTAGTATCTGTTCCATGCCGGAGAGCTTCCCTCCTCCCTTGCGTTCTCCTTCCACTGTGGCGTAACATCTGTTCCGTAGCAGTGGTATGACTGACTCTGACCAGCTTAGACAAGCTTTGACCAGCTTAGACCAGAGGCCCGAGTGGAAACACTCGTTAAAAACTGACCTTGTGTCACAACCTGACACAGTGAGGGGTTAAGGTAAATCTCGGGTAATAAGGAGGTTACAACCTTTAGTACTGAATAATGAGTTAGATCCTCACTGGGTGCCTCATACAAAATTAGTCATTCAATAACCCATCAAAGGTTGATATGTTTTAAAATCAATCGACTTTGCATATTTACTAAGAGCGTCTTAGTTCCCAGATTCGAATGAAGAGAAATTGGAAAGCCCCTCTCTCTCTCTCTCTCTCTCTCTCCTCTCCCTCTCTTTCCCCGCTCTTTCTCTCTTTTTCTATTTCTCTCACTCCCTGTTTTTCTTACTATCTGTTTTACAGACGGATGTGAAGACAGAGAAAGAGGGAGTGAACGAGATAGAAAAAGAAAGAAAGAACGGGGAAAGAGGGAGAAGAAAAGATAAAAAAAGAGTGGAGAAAGATAAAGAAACATTCCTCTTTCTCTCTATCGTGATCTGGATCTTATCTGTCTTATTCTCTCTTTTTTTCTTATTTAGTTTTTGTTGTGTCTCTCTCTCTCTCTCTCTCTCTCTTTCTCTATCTTTGTTTTTTTGCATCTCATTCTTCTTTTAATGTGTCTATCTCCTTTCTCTCTCTCTCTCTCTCTCTCTCTCTCTCTCTTTGTGTCTTGCCTCTCTCTCTCAGCAAATTTTTTTCTTCCCTCTCTCTCAGTCCTTTGCTTATTTTATTCTCTTTCTGTGTCTATCTCCTTTCTCTCTCTCTCTCTCTCTCTCTCTCTCTCTCTGAGTTTGGTCTTGTCTCTCTCTCTTTTAAAAAAACTTTAAAATCTCTGTGTCCTTTGCTTCTCATTCGTTCTCTTTCTGTGTCTATCTCCTTTCTCTCTCTCTCTCTCTCTCTCTCTCTCTCTCTTTGTGTCTTGCCTCTCTCTCTCAGCACTTTCTATGTCTTCCCTCTCTCTGTGTCGCTTTGCTTCTCATTCGTTCTCTTTCTGTGTCTATCTCCTCTCTCTCTCTCTCTCTCTCTCTCTCTCTCTCTTTTGTGTCTTGCCTCTCTCTCTCAGCACTTTCTATGTCTTCCCTCTCTCTGTGTCGCTTTGCTTCTCATTCGTTCTCTTTCTGTGTCTATTTCTCTCTCTCTCTCTCTCTCTCTCTCTCTCTCTCTTTGTCTTTTTGCTCTCTCTCTCAGCAAATCTATGTCTTCCCTCTCTCTGTGTCCTTTTGCTTCTCAGCAGTTCTCTTTCTGTGGAATATCTCCTTTCTCTCTGCGTGTGTGTGTCTTGCCTCTCTTTTCCTTCTCTTTCTGCATCTCTCTTTCCTTTCTTTTCCCTCTCTGTCCAATTCTCTCCCTCTTAGTAACTCTCTCCTCTCATCTGTCTCCCATAGACACCAGTCATGCGTGATACACGCTTAGGCGATCATTTATCTTCCGATACATGACTGACGAGGCAGATATTTTTCCGCAGTAGGTTGCCATTTCTTTCTGCGGTAGACCAGTTGCCATCCAAGGCTATAGGTCCCGGTCTTTCCTGCTATTTATCCATAGTGTGTGGAGGAGGCAAAAGAAGAGGACTCATACCTTTCCCAAGGGTATTAGCACGTAAGTGAATGTAATGGATTCGACTGGAATTCGAACTCGGCTCGCCGATTTCGAATTGCAATCGAATCCATTACATTCATAGACATATATTTACTAAGTTTTTCTTTAGTCCCTCAAAGCACCAAATGGGATGTGGCCTGGAAAATTTTATTGCACTAATCTTCAAAGTGAAAAGGGATTTTTTTTTTTTTGGCTGACTACTTTGAAAATCAGCATTCTAAGAACCTGGCTTTTAATCGATACCGAACGCTGACAACGGCTGTTAATAGAAAATACGTATCGGCTTCAACCAAAAAAACATATCTACAAAACAGGGAAATATTACGATGCAACGAGACGCGAAATTTTAATGTCGACCGTTAGTTGCTAATTTTCGTTTAATCTCGGATTTATTGTTGGGTGAGAAAAAGAAATTATATTTTCACGAATTATGGAAGGAATTAAAAATGTCATAAATTTAAGTATTTTATTACGACATTAAAAATAGATTTTTCGTTCATATTGTCAAGAAATAAAAATAAAATAAGACACATATAAAATTATCAACCGCTATAAAAATGTATATATATATATATGGTTGTGTACAAAACTTTGTAAAGTTAATCTTGTATATCTTGAATTCTCAAAATGTGTGTGGATGTGCGGGCGTGTGTGTGTATGTGTGTGTGTGTGTGTGTGTGATCGGATATTGTTTATGCGTTTCCACAGTTTTCATCTGATTTCGATGAAATTTTTTTTGTTTGATAGATAATTCTTCAGTGCCGGTTTTGAGTCCAAATTGGCTGTAACAAATTACAACCTTGAAGGCGCAAAAATCAAACAAAATGTCTGTAAAAAAAAACAGCGTGCAATCAATTTAGAGAGTTGAAATTTAACGCAAAAGATTATTAGAATTATTAAAAAAAAATGATATTATAAATAAAAATTATCGCATATTATTATTATGAAGGTCCATGGAAGAGGTTTCTTCCTTGCATGATTGAGAACTCAAAACCGACCCTTTTCAGGGCCACCTCCCCATTTGAAGAGTGTATCAGTTGCACTCAATTACTGTTACTAATATTAATTTTCGGGTGGGCTGACTTTAAACTTAAACTACTTAAACTAAAGTGAACGGCAAAAATTCCCAGTAATGAAACACCCGGTCGAAGTCGGGTTATACTGCTAGTTCCGATATAAAACGATTTAGTAATTAGTAAACGATTTAGTAATTAGTAAACGATTTAGTAATTAGTAAACTTAAATAAAATATCGGACAGAAAAACTGTTGAATAAAAATTGTTCGAAAAAAAAATATGTATATACTTCTCTTTGAATTTTTGGGATGATGATTTATGCTTATTAAGACTATCTACATTCGGCCATCTTTGTTGTTGTTATCACAACGTTTCAGCCGTTGTGCTCTCCGGCCTTCCTCAGGTGTATGTCAGTTCAAGTAATCTACAGGGAATTGGATACATGACTGACGAGGCAGATTTTTTTCCCACGGTAGGTTGACATTTCTTTCTGCAGTAGTACAGTTGCCATCCAAGGCTATAGAACCCGGTCTTTCCTGCTATTTATCCATAGTGTCGAGGGGAGAAGAAGATTCATACCTTTCCCAAGGGTATTAGCACCTCAGTCAGTCAGATGTACCATGCGTGATACACGCTTAGTCGATCATGTATCTTTCGATAAATGACTGACGAGGCAGGTTTTTTTTTCCGCAGTAGGTTGACATTTCTTTCTGCGGTAGACCAATTGACATCCAAAGCTATAGGACCCGGTCTTTCCTTCTATTTACTCATAGTGTGTGTGGGGGGGGGCGAAGAGGATTCATACCTTTTCCCAAGGGTATTAGCATCTAAGTGAATGCAATGGATTCGACTGGAATTCGAACTCGGCTCTCCGCTTCCTCAATCCGAGCCACTATCCATTACTGCACCAGATAAAATCCCTTCTTTGGCACATCCGTCAAGTCCCACAAGATTCGTCCGTGAAAATCAATTTTTCATGTATTTCTTCATCCAATTTTGATGCTTTAACACATTTTCTTTAGTGAGAGGAGTTTTTTTAGATTTCTCGACAGATCCCAATTTGTGATGTATTCTACACATTTTGTCATTTTTGACTCCCACAGTTCCAGCCTATTCACTGGTTAAAATTGTTTTGTTTTTGTTTTTTTTCGCTATAATTTGCTTCCATTTATATCCCCCTCGAGGTGACAAGTTCCTAAAGCCTTTTTATTTGCTTCTGATTCTCAACTTTGTTATATTTTTAACAGCTTTTTTATCGTTCGATGATCTCGGCAAAGCTCTTTTGATATCACCAATATGGACATTACATTCACTCATTAACTTTGTTTTTTGTCTGTTTTTTCTTTGTTTTTGTTTTTCTCAGCTTTTGTTAGATCCTTCCACTAACCGTGTTCAAACACGGTTAATTGGAAAAAAGAAAAAAAAAAAAGAAAAATAGTTTTGATTAGATTTCAGAAGCCTTAAACAAATATTAGTCTAATCTGCATAATAACATCAGACTGGAATTTTTTTTTTATAATAAATCCAATAAGTTTAATAAGACTTGCTAAAACTACTTAAAAATGTAACTCAAGCTTTGTTTTGTCGTTTAAATCAATCATTTAAAAATTGATAAACATTTTTTGAAGCAAATTTGAATATTTGAGGTTTCTCTGATTTCATAAATTTAGAAGGACTTTATTTGCATATATTACTTTTTTACATTTAAACATCTATATATATAATACACAATGTGGTTTTATATATATATATATATATAAGGATTGCTGCCTAAATATATATATATATATGTATATATATATATATAAGGATTGATGCCTATATATATATATATATATATATATATATATATATATATATATATAAGGATTGTTGCCTAAATATATATATATATATATATATATATATAAAGGATTGCTGCCTAAATATATATATATATATATATATATATAAGATTGATGCCTAAATTTATATATATATATATATATATATATATATATATATATATATATATATATATATATATATATATATATATTGATGATGCCTATATATATAATCGTGGCTGTCCTCTCGGTTTCGAGCGTGACCACCTCCTTTATTAAATGTCCTCACCCCCTCCTACTCCCCTCAAATTCTATGTATTCGCAGGTGACTCTTCAGGCCAGCCAAACTGCGACAAATTTTGCCACAGAATTGGCATACGCGATCAGTTTTGTTTACAGTGACATTATTCGGGTGCACACTAGGTTTTGCACATTTACGCAAATGGCTTTTGAAGCCGGCAAAAGATAGGCACAATTTTCCGCATATGTCACAATTGATGTGGTGAATTGGTGGACCCGGTGCTGGACCCTGTTCACCTTTGCGAATCAGACGTTTGTAGGCACTGTCCTGCATACGGCTATTCTCAAAGGACTCAATGCCTTCGTGAATTAGTTTCCGCCACTTACTTCTATCCAAAGCCATTTTTCCCATTGGTCTACAGATAGTCCAGATTGTTTCAGATAAGATTTTATATATATATATATATATATATATATATATATATATATATATAATAATTGCGCGTTCACGCGTGTTTACAAAAGTCACCACGACAACACTCACGTTTACATCTTCGAAATTCATTCCTGATGATGATCTCAGAGGAGATCGAAAGTACTTAGGTTAACAAAAACAACGATGAATTCCTTGATGAATTTCAACTTAGCATCAAGAATCTAATTAGAGAACTAAAAAGGATTATTATAAATATATATATAAATAATATGTCTGTATTAGTCAAAGAAACATGCTTGGAAGAAGATATGCTGCCTAAATATATATATATATATATATATATATATATATATATGAAAGTGAACTTAGAAGTCAACACTTAGATACGACAGTCTGATTCATGCTAGATGCAATCGTCAGACCACGTGGCCTGACGATTGCATATAAAGCATGAAACAGACTGTCGCCTCTAAGTGTTGACTTCTATGTTCACTATATATTGAGCATGAAACAGACTGTCGCCTCTAAGTGTTGACTTCTATGTTCACTATATATTGAGCACTTTATCCCATAAATATAGCACACCTTAAGACTATATTTCTTCATATATATATATATATATATATATATATATATGAACTATAAAAAATCAATAAATGAAATAATGGATGAATAAATAAAATAAAAGATTGAAAGAAAAAGAAAGAAAATTTAAAACTACTTCTTAATTTAACGAATTTTAACGAAATTATATTGTGGTAAGAATTTCAGTTTTCATATATATATATATATATATATATATATATATCAATATTAAAAATATCAAAATATTAAAAATATACTGCTAATAATATTATATGAAAAGATTACTTAACTTTTAAATATCAATTTTATCCCGATTTCGAAGTTTCTTGGTAAAATTTCTAGTCTTCAAGGGATTCTGTTTTAAAAGATATTTTCAATTTTTAAAAATTGTTTTCCATTTGTTCCACATCCTTTTCAAAACACTTTATATATATATATATCTATATATATATCTATATATATATCTATATATATATATATATATATATATATATATATATATATATATATATATATATACAGCGATTCAGTAATGAATTATGCATCGAAAAAATAATTCATATTTATCTGCACGTGTTGCAAAATTATGGAAAATAAAGCATAATAAATATATTTTTAAAAGAATCCTTATTACAATCAAAACCGTTTGGGGTTTCTCTCTTCTTTTAATATATATATATATATATATATATATATATAT